CGCTTCCCGTGTCCCCGGTGGGGGTTACACGGGCACCGCGGGCACAGGCAGCGGGTCCCCACAGGGGTACAGCCTCTTCTGCCGCACGTGGATCCTCTGGTGGCCGTGGCGGACAAAGTCAGAGGCCCACGTGAAGCTCCTGTTGCAGCAGGGGCAGAGGATGAGGTGGTGGTTGGTGTGGCGGCGCTGGTGCAGGATGAGGAAGCTCTCGCTGGAGAAGTTCTCCATGCATTCGTCGCACGTATACATCCTTTTCCCAGGTGACAGCGGGTACCCGGTGGGGCTGGGCTTCCCCAACACCGTGCCGCAGTCCCTGCTCGGGGTTTGGGGCTGGGAGGCCGGGCACGGCGCCCGGCTGGGGCACTCCTCCGCCTCCGAGGGTTGGCAGAACCCTTTGGCTGCCCGAGCCCGGAGGTGACGTCGGATTTTTTTCTTAGACATGAAGCTCCGGTCGCAGTGCGTGCAGATATAAGGCACCAAGTTACTGTGGCTGCGCTGGTGGATGACGAGGTTGATCTTGAGCAGAAAGGTTTTCCTGCAGACGGGGCAGGAGTAGAATTTCTCCCGGGTGGAGTTTCGCTGGCAGGCCGCAGTCCGGCTCACGCAGGAGCCCTCCACGGGCTCTCCCAGGCAGGCGGAATCCGCCTGCGCCATCGCTCTGCAGACATCGGGTATCGCCTCCTTAACCGGCTCTTCGGGAACGTCAGCCACCGGACCCTGGCCACCGTCCCCCAAATCTTTCCTGTCCTCCTCTTCCAGACCTTTCGAGGGCGTTTCGGGTACTACCGGCTTCTCTGCAGCGACCTCCTCCTGCGGTACCTCCGTTGGGATCCCCACCTCGGCATCTGCTGGAAATTTTGCAGAACCCAAACATCACGCCTCCGCTCGGCTTTGAGGACAAGGCGTAAACAGCAAGGGGCTTTCCTCCCGCCCCACTCCCCCCTTGCCTCCCACCCCCTCCCCAGCCAGCAGCCGGTACAATCTCAGCCTCGCTTCTCTTCCAGCTCAGTGCCTTCACACCTGGAGCGCTACGGCTCATCCCTGCAGACGCCCCAAGGGCGGTTTGAGATGAGAAATGTCACCCAGGTAGGATGGGAGGACTCTTAACAGAAACATCGGGGCTCGTCCTTCGCAGCAAGTGGACTGGGTGGACCGGTTCACACTGTGCCATGCCTCATCCTTTGCCATTTCACGACTGGCGGCAGGATTTACCGTCAGAACCCGTCTGAATCACGTAAAACCCTGTCCTGCAAGCCCCAGGCCCAGAGAGAGCCCCGTGCAAACCTCCCGCTGCGCCTCGAGGCTGACGGCCCCGCCAAGGAGGGACGAAGGGCTCTGTTCCTGTACCTGCGGCAGCGGGAGGCGACGGAGACAGTTTCAGATTCACCACTTCACGACAGCACGTGGAGAGAGGGTAGGAAGGGGACGGGGTCGGCTGGCTGAGATCCGCTGGCACAGCGGTGGCTTCAGGAGGGACGTGTGCTGCGAAGGCAAAAGGAGCGATGATGATGATGATGATGACAGAGCCGGGAAGGGGCCCAGGACCCTTCGCGTCAGCTGGGTTTGCCTGCCACTCACGTGCACTGCAGTTCACCGTGACCGCCGGGCTCCTGCTTCCCTCCGGCTCCCTCCGGTTCCCCTCGCAAGACTCCTTTGTCTTCATCTCCAGCAGACCCTCAGCGCTCAGGCGGTCCGGCTCTGGGGAGGAGAAGGATGCTCGGCTTTACCGGCAGCCAGCCGGGGGCTCGGAGGAGCAAGCGCAGGGGTGGGAGTCCCCCCGCTTCCCAGGCCCACAGGGCATCAGGGTCCCTGCAGCAGGCAGCGGCTGCTGGGTCAGGGGAGGGTTTCCTTCCATCTATGTGTCCCAGCACACGTTCCCCGCGTCCGCTCCCAGCACAGACTGTCCACAGCCGAGGAGACACCTCGGTCCCTGCGGCTGAGGGCAGGGACTACACTCATGCCGGTAAGCGGCCGGGAGTCAGGATTCTGGCATGGAAGAAACCTAGCGTCACGCACCTCCGGCTGGCTCCGCAGATACGTCTGCTCCCTCCAGGTCTGGCTCGGCCGGCGCGCACGGCTCTTCTCCTCTTTCCAGGCGAGATAAGAGTTCAGGCTTGGATAGGTCACAGTCTGTTCAAGAGCAAGAGAGACATCAGGGGCGAGACACCACAGCGTCGTTGCGGGTGCACCCACAGCCTCTCAACGCAGGGCCAGTCCCGGCCCAGAAAAACGGCACCTCCAACCGGGGCAGCGTCAGCGCCGGCACGCGGGGAGTTACGGACACAGACAGGGACCGGCAGGCAGCAGTTCTAGGAGAAGGGAGTCTGAAAAGCATCCTCTGGCATGGCTCACACACACACACACACACGGCAACAACTGCATGAAAATCCATCCCTGCTCCATGGCGGGGGGGAATCCCTGCAACAGACAC